TAAAAGATACTACATATCTTTAAAAGATACTACATATCTACATATACATGCACATGCATGATATTGCCTCAAAATTCATTATTTATTTCTAGAAAATATTAATGTATTTTCTCAGTGAATTTAATTTTTTTTTCTGTATCACTTCTTTCATCTAAAGTTGGAGTGGGTAAGGAATGCAATATTTTTAAAAAAACCTCCCATGACATATTTATGCTCCTCATTTCTGGAAGTTCCATAATATCTCCTTAGTTTTTTTGCAGTGTATCTTAGTACGTAACATTTTTAGAGCAGTGGATGTGAATAGTATCTTAAGCATTGGCTTTAATTGAGAAGTGTTATTTGTTCCTGGGCAAATATACAGAACCCAATCCGTCTTTCTCTCCCCCACTCCCCCCCATTGGAAAATCACAGCACAGATCCTTTAGAAATGCATAGGCCAAAATATTTTGCTCTTGTTGCTAAGACACAAAAAGTAAATTTGCATTCTCAGTAAAAAAATATATGTGTGCCTGGATTACTGAAAAAGCCAAGAAAGATATATGTTAAAAATTAAGAAAAGAACAAATGTGGCAAGGAAAGAACTACCAGTAATGGCCACATACTTACTAGAAAGTAATATTGCAATTAGTAATATATAAAGTATTAACTGCAAGAAATTTAAAAATCCTCAGTCTTTTATAAAGTATACAATGTTACCTGATTATAATTTACTATAATACTCAACTGATTTAATGCTACATGCATCGATCTTAGCGTAGTGTTTTCTTGTATATATTGAGATCTTAAGTATTTGTTTCTTATTTGATTAATTGCCCCTTAGCATCAGGATCACACAAACAATCTTAATTATGATTTATAAAACAGTCAACTTCATTTCCTTCAGATAACATTGGTTTCCTTTAAAAAATAAAGTTTAGTCTAATTTTAGTTTCAAAGATCAAACAATATTGAATTGTAATCAGGCTGCAAATAAAAGCTTTAGAGTCATACTGAAAGGTCAAGGATTATCAATATTTAATTACAATACTTTATGTACTTAGTATTACCAATTTCTGTTGTTGAAATATATCTTGACCATAAAAGGTTTAAAAGCAAAAGACCCTGGACATGCCATTATGAAGTCAGTCCTACAATTCAGTTTATACATGCATACCAGGGGTGGGTTTCAACCGGTTTGCGGTGGTCCCCGCGAACCGGTTGGTCGGCGAACCCAGAAATAAGTAACTTCCGGGAACGGCGAAGGGCCCACCCGCCCTCCCACGCTCCTTACCGGTCTTTGAAGGCTTCTGTGCTTCCACGCAGGCGCATGGCACATACAGCTCCTGCGTGATTCTCCGTGAGCAGCTGGAGCATCGCGCAGGCGCTAAGACGCATGCGTGAACTGCGCACGTGCACGAGGACACCGCCGGCCCCGTTCCAACCGAACTGGTTGGAATGGGATTAGCAACCCACCCCTGATGCATACATATGTCTTGCATATATGCATGCTTGCAATTTATCCACTACCTCAACCTTCATGGACTTTAGCAATTTACAAAATTGAAAACAGTAAGAATAAAAATTGCAATAATACAAATATAACAAGTGATATACATATGCATATACATACACACACATAAATAAATAAATGCTAATTAAGGCTAACTTTGCTTAGGTTTCAAATTAATAAAGTTCCTACTGAATAATTTGCAATAATTTGTATAGATTAGGAATTATGTGTTAGTGGTATTGCTATGATTCTTGTAAAGTATCAATAGTTATTGAAATTGTTATTGAAAGCTAATTAATGAAACATTGAAATTTTTATCTAAATTTATGACGGAGGCTTTTCCTTCATATTCTGTTTCTTTATCTCTTTTTTATTATTTCTTGTTCTTTCTGTTGCTTTGTAGTTTATAGTTTCAAGACAATGTGATTGTCTTACATTTGACTGCTGCAAAAATGGATGGATGAATGACATTATTGTTTTACTTTTCATTAAATGCTTCTAATAATATACCGTATATTCCGCCGTATAAGGTGACTGGGCGTATAAGACGACCCCCTACTTTAAGGTGCCCGCAAACCGGCTGAAGGCTTCCATGCTGCCGGGCTTTCATAGTTAGATCTCAGCGCCTTCATCCTCCGGACTGCCAGCTAGACCTTACTAAGCCATCCCAGAGCTCATCCATCCATGTGCCCAGGCGAGGAGCGCCGAGGTTATCAATTGAAAGGCTGGCATTTTTGCTTGGTGGCGTTGCTTTTTCTTTTGTTTTGGTTTTTTGGTATGGACTTTCTTACACCTGGTGTATAAGATGACCCCTGATTTTTTAAATTATTTTTGGGAGTTAAAAATCATCTTATACGCCGGAAAATACGGTAATATTTCTTGGCTTTGGAGATTTCCATGTCTGAATAATCATGACAATCTTTATTTTAGCATTTGTGTTCTATTTAAGCTTTCAGAATATAGATTTTATTGGTTTTAGTGAAAGTACAAAGATCCTGCAGGAAAAAGGTTTGTTGTGCACTGAACCCAGCTATATTTTGATAGCTTCAAATCTGTGCATGGAAAATATTGTATAAATAGCAGAACAGGAAATTCCACTTAATCCAACACTAATTGTCATTTTTGGCTTCACTGCAAGGAGTTGTTAACTTAGCATATTTACATATGAGTTAGTTCCTATCCTATTCACACATAGTATTATGACTGACATAAGTTATTTGGAGCTATCTAATACTTAAATGTGTTTAACATGGTAAATTAAAGATATATAGCATTCTAGATTTTTTTAAAATGAGATATTCAAATATTTGAATTTTTTTAATGAATATGTGACATGAGAGGCAAAATAACAATGGCCTTATTTTAACTGTATGATTCCCTACTTCCGGATGTTAATATTTATTATTATCTTACTTTCAAACTTTTGGATTCCTGCCACTATTTTTGCTTCTTTTATCATCATAACAAACTATGGTATTTTTCTTTCCAATGAGCCTCCCACCTAAATATTTATGATTATTAAATAATTATTTTTACATTTTGATTTGCTCTTTGCAGATTACAAGTGACATTTGGTGGAAAATATGAATACGTCAAACCTGTAGTGTTGCTTGGAATTCTGCTATTATGCTAGATAATTGGTATTTGCAAAATAACTGGCACGAAACCTGGCAGTTTCTTTTTTTGTCCACTCATGATTAATACAATGTTCTCTACAGAGTTCTCTACCATTCTGCTGATTATGCTTCTGGAATAGTCTCAGACATTTCTAAAATTAAAGCTGCAGTATCTGGCCTAGCATGCGGGATTTTCCATTCCTAATTCCCATTTAATACATTTCTGCCCATCATTCAGCTGTTGGATAAAAGTATGTGCACTGCAAATATATAAGGTTTAGCTTTAATCTGGAGCAATTCACCTAATACTAGGCTGAGATTTCCATTGCTTTTGGAGGTGAGAGTGTGAAGTCTTTAATTTCTGGATGACATGCAGAACAGCCAGTTTCTAGGTTTTTTTTATTATTACTGGTTGCTAAATAAACGTGCAGCAGTTCATTTTTCTGTTTTTTGCTTTTATAATATTTTGAAATTAGGTAGCTTAATTATATTTGTTTGTAACTGCAGACACCACATAGAGATTATGATTTATCTTCTCTCATTGCAGCTCCACATTGAATCTTCCAGTCCAACAGTGTTACCACCATCCGCTTTACCATTAGAATTGCTAAACAATGCTGTGGCTGGATTTAGTACCATAGAAGAACTGATCAAGTACCTTGAGCCTGACCGGTGGCAGTTGGATCTGGAAGACTTATACAAACCAGCTTGGCATCTTCTCGGGAAAGCCTACATTCATGGCAGAAAGTCAAGAGGTAAAGTTTGTCATTTTTTTCTCTGGCTTTTTCTTCTTTCTTTTATTGAACACCCAAAGCTCTTGATAAACCAAATCGTGTATATGCATGTAACCATTGATTGATGGCACATGTATGTAATATGATTATTTTTGAGGCTGTTTACTTCTTTTAGAGTGTAGAATGAGACTCTCTAGAAATGGTCTAATAAATGTTAGTGAATTTATTTTCCAGCCCAGAGGATAACTAAGTTTATGTCAATGTCTGCAGGCTTGGGGAATCCCAGGGAAAGAAAGAATTGCTGAGATGGCTGCACTGTATTTCTCAAGATACTCTCTTCTAGTCTTTAAAAGAAGTAAACA